GCCGGCCCCCCCCGCCCCCCCCCCCCCTGCCACTGCCAGTGCGGCGGCATCGACTGGACGGCCGCGCGCTGCTGCAAGATAGGGCTGCAGTGATGCCAAGCCGAGCCCCACAGGCCTGCTGCCCCATGGCGGCCTGCCCTGCCCCGAGCTCCGTCCCGTCCGTCACACCGGGAATAAACTTGAATGGGTCTGTGGAGGCTGCTCCGGCTCCGGCTCCCTTCTTCCCTGCAGGCCCTGGGACTCGGGGCCGGAACCCCAGGCAGGGGGTACAACTCCAATTCCCCAGGGAGGCCTCTGTCCCAGGCCAGGCCAGCTGCCCCTGCTGGCAGCTCCCCGATCGCTGTGGGGGTCCTGACAGGGAACTCCCCCTCCCCTCCCACGGGTGCTTCAGCTTCCCTGGCCTCAGGGGCTGCCGTGCTGGTGTGTCTCATGCCTCATTTCCCTGGGCCGGAACCCCAGGCAGGGGGTACAACTCCAATTCCCCAGGGAGGCCTCTGTCCCAGGCCAGGCCAGCTGCCCCTGCTGGCAGCTCCCCGATCGCTGTGGGGGTCCTGACAGGGAACTCCCCCTCCCCTCCCACGGGTGCTTCAGCTTCCCTGGCCTCAGGGGCTGCCGTGCTGGTGTGTCTCATGCCTCATTTCCCGGGCACTGGCTCCCTTACCCCTTGCCAGAAGTGGAGCCTCACGGCCCCTCCATCTTAGGCCCCAGGCCCAATACTGACCCCCAAGGGTCACTGGCCCTCCTTCTCCAGAGCGGCCCGACAGCATGGGCTGTCTGGGTTCCCCCGGGGCCAGGAGCGCACTGACCCTGCGCCCAGGATCCAGCCCCCTGCACCTCACTGAACAGAGCCCAGATTGGGAGCGACCAGCCCCTGCCCCGCGCTGCTCGCGAGCTCACCCGTCCCATGGGAGTCGCTCGGGGCCGGTGTGAGTCCAGGGAGCTGGACCCCTCACCTCTGCAGGGCCCTTCAGCAGCTGCGGGGGGGAAGGGGGGAAAGGCCTGACCTAGATCCCCCCCTGCCTCTCCCAGCCCAGCTGTCACCTGCCTCAACTGCCCTGGGCATCCCAGCCCGTGGGCCCAGCCCAGCCCTCCCCAGACAGCACCCTGGGAGCCGGCCCAT